AGCGCAGTCAGGAGGCGAAGCGGAAGCAGGCAGAAGAGGAGGAGGAGCGGACACTGGGCATTTCGAACATTTAAACTCGCAGCCGCTAATCCTGAACCGAGGCTTCAGGACTTTAGGGCTGCATTTCGTGTCGGGAGTATCGTACAGCAGAGGTTTCTTAAGTGCAGGCTGGCTAGCCGGTTTGTCACGGATCTGTGGCATGGGCTTTACGTTTCGGTTCTGGGCTGTTGCAAAGACACCCCAGTAAGGCAACCCTCATTAGATCGGCAATTGGCCCTGAGCCGAGGAAGCGGCGACGAAAAGAGCTCATCGAGAAGGAGACCGATGCCGTGAGGTTAGGCTTTACGACAGACTGGGGTTTCGGGAGGGTTTGACAGGGTTTTCGAGTCACAACGGTTCACAAGGCGCAAAGATCAAAAGGGTTTGGGTTTTGGGCTCACCGCCCAAAGTCCTCAGGGGCCAAAGTGCATAGCGGACTGCTTGCGATTCCAAAGGTTTCAGGCTTCGAAAGGATTTAGACCTGACAGGGCTCACACCGAAGGGATCAAGAGGGCTTCCAGCCTGTGGAATGCTGTTTAGGCACCCCATACTAGGCCTACAAGGGCTTGTTGGGCTTATGAGTCGAGGTTTCGGGATGTGGGTTGGGCTTTTGCTTGGGATCCGCCTTTCATCGTCAGTCTTCCTGCGTATGGGATAGTTCTAAATCTCCGGGCCCCCAGCCCGAAATGTCCAGGAGCTAGACTTTGATAGTCGCGGAAGAAGTGTACCGGAATCTGGAGCCTCGAGCCGTCACCATGCAAGAAATGAAGCCTCATTGAATTGACTCAGCACCGGAGCCTGCAGCGTAATTCAAGTGGATGAAAGCTTCAAACAGACTGCGACAGCTGTGCACGAGGCAAGCGCAGAAAGCTGCACATCGGCCGCTGAATTCTTACGAGGACCTGTGCTTGCTCTAGCAATATTCCTTGCTGTTCCCTGGTTCAGATCCCGAGACCCTGTTCTCATTGCCGAAGACCAATTCTACTTTACACTTTGCAGGACCGTTTCAGAGTTCCAACATAGGATCATCGCATGGCTTTGTAACATCTTGAGAGTTTCGGGTTCCATACTCTACTTAGAGCATTCAGAAAATCAGCAGGGATTTTTGTCGATTGCCCCATGCTGTGGGCGAGACAGTGTGCTCCATCGTCGCAATGGCAGGAAGGTGAATTTCTAAACCCTGAGACTTGTGTGATTGAGTTCTGTGATTTGATCTGTTTCAAAAAACGCGTGCAAATAGACACCGTGATTGTGCGAGAGCATAATGAATGTCGTTTGTAGCTTGAATACTAGTCGTGGTGGAGCAGTAGCAGCAGCAGTAGGAGTAGCAGTAGTCGCAGCAGTGCTCGTAGCAGAGTCGTTATCGTGGTGTCGCCGCAGGTAGTCGTAGTTGTAGCCGTAGCTCCAGTCGTGGTAGTGGGAGTAGTGTAGAAGTGGTAGTAGTGTAGAAGTAGTAGTAGTAGTAGTAGTAGTAGCAGCAGCAGCAGCAGCAGTAGTAGTAGCAGCAGCAGCAGCAGTCGTAGTAGCAGCAGCAGCAGTCGTAGCAGCAGCAGCAGTAGTTGGAGCGCGTAGCAGCACGGACAGAACTTTCAGGGCTTAGAGAACAAACGAGATTAATCATGTCGAGGAGCGCCGAATCCGCCGGCAGGCAAGCAAAGTGCTAGCATCAAGGTTTGTTGGGCATTTGGTTCCGGAACCCTTTGCGCACTTCTGGCCTGTATGGAAGACTTTTTGCAGTGAGCTCCGGGCTTGCTACTATAGGGTCCACCCCAATGTGTGCCCACTCCACTGAGAGGCCCCAAAAATCTCGATCTAGAGACGCGCGGGCATGTGAGACATTCTCAACCAACCCCGGAGCCCGAATGCCAGAGCCCCTGCAATCCATAAACTCTATGAAGCTCGCAAACCCATCACATTTATGCATGAAGCAAAACGCCCAACTCTCTTCACGCCCGAGAAGTCCTTCAGCTTGAAGCCATACGTATCTTGAAGCACACACCCTTAAAGCCCCGAAACCAACGCTCTTCAACACCTCAGCCACGGAGGTCCGATCTGAGTTTCTGGGAGGCGGCGGACTGCAGGTTGATGACGGGCACAAAGATGAGCTTGAGCTGCATGCCATGCTACATGTTCCTATCTGTTCAGGGCGGTATCTGCAAAAGATGCCAATGACGTCGTCAAGTCAAGCTTCCATCATGATGCACGTAGGACCACACCGCTCAAGCAGCTATGCCATAGAATCAAAGCATGCGCAGTGCCCTCAGCGAACGCAACTGAGGACTGGGCACAACCTCTCAAGCCAGAAATGAAAGCCCAGCTGGTCGGGACCTTAGCTGTTCGCCATCCACCTGCTGATGCTTATCATGGCAATGAAGATGACGGGGAAGCGGAAGATGCCGATGAAGACGAAGATGACGATGAACATGCAGAGGTGTCATGCATGTGTGCATGCATGCATGCA